TCAGTATAGTAGTGTTGTTTTTAATTTATATTTTAGCTTAGTCTTTGTGGCAAATAAAATATTGCCTGTCCCCAAGATAATTCACATTCTGATCCATGAATCCTATAAATAAGTTACCTTAGGTCACAGAAGGTATTTTGTACGTGTGATTAAATTTAAACCTGTAAAGTCTTTGACAGGGAGGATTGGCCTTGACTATCTCCGTGAGTCCAGTGTAATCACAGGGTCCTGCTTGCTTCCCCTTTGCACTTCTTACTTTGTTTTACTTGTTCTTAGGCAACATAGGTGAACCTGTGTGACTAGAATCACATGCAGGTCTTACTTTGAGCTCCAAGTGTAGAACTCTAAAATAACTCTGAGGCCTCTCAGCCTTAGTGCTTCCCTCCTCCCCTGGGAACCAGGAATCTAACAATTACCCACACACATACTGAAGTGTTGGGAACTTTCCATCTCCCTGAGTCTTTGTGAATGTTCTTCAGATAGAACTCAGTTATTGAAATTGGGGCAAGATAACCCTTAAGATGTTGACTCAGTTCCTGATGTTTTGACTCAGTCCCTGGAAAGGGGTCAAAGTAACCATTAAATGTTTCCTCTTACCTCACCTGATCTGGCAACCACCCTCCAGCCCTGACTCGGACCAATTATTGTTAATAGCCCTTTGAATAAGCCAATCCCAATAGTTGGAAAACAACCCCCAAGTTTCCCACCCCCTTGTTTCTATGGCTTTTTGCTTTAAAAGTAGCCTGTACCAGCTATTTGGGGTCCTTGGCTTGAATGCTGAGTGACCTTGTCATGACAGAATTAAAATCCTCATGCTTTTACATTAACTGTGGTGTGAGGGTGGTCTCATGGGGCAACTCCTCCTTGATGATTGGACTTCAGGGTTCAACACAAATGCCTATGATTTCACTGCAGGTTCATGATTTGGTTATTGAGAAGATAAGAGGACTGTGATATGACCTTCATCTGAAAGAACTTTGTAGTCTAGGACAGATACTGTCGGTATTATTAATTTGCTGTTTCCCTCAATCATTTGCTATCTAGCAAATGTTTCAAATGATTTTTTAAACCACATTTTCTTTTACAAGTTGATCTTCATTTAGCATGTTCTGTCCATATTTTGATCCTCTTTGGATCTGTTTTGTCAACACGTCCAGATTTATCGTTACTGTCAGAATTTATTACCATAGTCATTAAGACTATTGCCAGAACTGGAGGTGGTGGTGGTGCACGCCTTTGATCCCAGCACTCAGGAGGCAGAGACTGATGGGTCTCTGTGAGCACCTGGACAACCTGGGCTGTATAGTGAGTTCCAGGACTATGTAGAGAGACCTTATCTCAAAAAAACCAAACTAAAGACTTTTCCAGAAAGGAATTTATTCAATAATTCTCTTGAAAATAGTGCTATTGCTCGGACTTGTCTTCATGGTGTTAGTCTTACAAAAAATGAGTCCAACATAGTTATTGACAGCATTGGTTTTTATAGTCATGCTGTATAGTTTTTCAGCTATCTATGATGTAGAATTGAAAAGGAACCTGTAATCACGCATTCTGAGAAATATATAATTGAAGCTTGGCAGATTGTAACCGATTGCTGGAGACAGTCTGACTTTGTACTCCAAGTTGGCCTTCAAGGTTCTCCTGTCTCAGCCTTCGGATGTGTGTTACAGTGCTCATTTCAAGATTTGGTGTTTTAAAACATTTATCTCAGCCAGGCAGTGGTGGCACATGCCTTTAATCCCAGCACATGGAGGTGAGACTGGCAGATCTCTGAGTTTGAGGACAGCCTGATCTACAGAGTGAGTTCCAGGGCAGCAGGGACTAGACAGTGAAACCCTGTCTTGAACCCCCCCCCCAAAAAAAAAAGCGAAAAAGGCTGCTTCATTTGGTTTGGTTATCATATAAGGATTCCAGGTTTTCTGCTTTCTTGTAATTGGGTATTCTTAGATTAATTTAAATAATTAGTAATTTCCAAGTTCTGAAGAACTCTGCTGGCAATGCCATTTTATTCCATGATCTTTCCTTAAATTTAGAATGATGTAATGGAAATTGTTCTCTATAGTATTGTCTAATAATCTCATTTAAAATGTAAATTTATGGACTTTTTTTTTTATAGAGGTTGTCCTCGAACTCATTATATAGGTGTGGAAGGCCTTGACCTCCTGATTCTCTGCCTGTGCCTTCTAAATTCAGGGATTATGGGTGTGTACCACCATTCTCTAGTTAAACTTTATTTTTTGTTATGGTAAAGTATACGTATTTGCCTTCTTAATCATTTTGAAGTAAACAGTTCAGTGTTAAGTATATTTGTTAATTAACTTTTTACCTCAAACTGGATCTTTTTCCCTCTCTTAGAATTGTAAAACCAGTAAGATCAAGTGCCTATTGAAAGAGAATCACTCTTGGCTAAGAAGAGAAGTAGGAAATAGGTTGGTATTGCTTATACTTAGGAATCCTGAGAGGGGGTTGCTAGAAATGGATGTTAAGTTTTTTCAGTTACATTGATTTTTATTAGTGGGATGTGCGCATGTGCTGCTGCCCATGTGTGGTCGTCAGAGGACAGCTGGCAGGGGTCATTTTTCTCCTTCTACCACGTCGGTCCCGGCAATCCTACTCAAGTCATCGAGTCTGGCTGTAACTACAAAGTCATCTTGCTGGCCCAAAGATGGAGTCGATTATTGTCTTTGACCAGATGTCTTTTGGAAAGCCTGTGTGGTCTTCATTACCTCCAAGTTCTTTTTACTTTCTTTTTCTTGTTGTTTTTCAAGACAGGGTTTCTCTGTAGCTTTGAAGCCTGTCCTGGAACTAGCTCTTGTAGACCAGGCTGGCCTTGAACTCACAGAGATTCTCCTGCCTCTGCCTTCCAAGTACTGAGATTAAAGGCGTGCGCCCCTACTGCCCAGCTTTACTTTTTCTTTTTGAGGCCAGAAGAGGGCATCAGATCCCCTGGAGCTATAATTACAGGTGATTTTATTAGCTGCCAGGAATTGGGTGCTAAGAAATGAAAACACATGCATGCACACACACATACACTAAACAAACAAAAATAAAAATCTAATCACATATGAGAGAAATTGTCTTTCAGAGTCTGGACAGATCTTCATGTAGCCATTAGCCTTGCACTTGATTAAATGTCTGCTTTCCGGCCCTTTACTGAAAGTTTGCCTACAGTTATAAAGAATCATTTCATTGCTTTTGGACTTCCATTTTCTTTTTCTCTTTTAAATAAAAGCAATTAGTTTAATGTATTCAACATTTGCCTCCCTTTTACACAAAAGGCAGCATACTATAAACTCCGTTTCTTCATCTAATCTTTCTGTTAACAGTATTTGAATTAGGAAGACATTTCAAATGGTCAAGTACTGCCTCTTAAACACAGGTCCTTTGTTTGATATCCAGACCCCACATAGAAATGCTGGGCGTATGGTTCTTTCCTTGTATCCCCACCACTGGGGAGTCAGAAACAAGAATGTCTGGGGCTTGCTGGCCAGCTAGTCTGGCCTAATCAGTGAGTTCCAGGCCAGTGGAAGACTGTCTCAAAGGTGATGTTCCTGAGTGTCTTAGTCAGGGTTACTGCTGCTGTGATGAAACACCATGACCACAGCAATGTGAGGAGAACAGGGTTTATTTAGTTTACGCTTCCACATCACTGCTCATTACCAAAGGAAGTCAGGCAGCAGCTCAAGCAGGGCAGGAATCTAGAGCTAGGGGTTGATACAGAGGACATGGAGGAGTGTTGCTTACCTCTTGCTCCTCATTGCTTGCTCAGCCTGCTTTCTTAGCCAGGACCACCAGCCAAGGGATAGCACCACCCACAATGGGCTGGGCCCTCCCCCATCAATCACTGAATATGAAAATGCCTATAAGCTTGCCTACCACTGGGTCTTATGGAGGCATTTTCTCAATTTAGGCTTCTTCCTCTTTGATGACTCTATCTTGTGTCAGGTTGACCTAAAACTAGCCAGCACACTGAGGATGACATCCAAGGTTGTTTTCTGGCCTCCACGCATGCAACACATTAAAAAGTCTCTCTGATATTTTTCGCTCCTACTCATGGAGTAAGTATGCTCTTTATTTTCTACTGGTATACTATTATTTTACTGTTTTTCTTTCAAAAAAACAACATTTTGTCACAGCCTTTTTTGCCTACATAATGAGCCTCTATGCATTTGAAGTGCATCTTCAAATTTAGATTTAGGTGAGATTTCTTAGCAGGTAAAGGTGCTAACTGCCAGTCCTGACAACTTGAGTTCAGTCACCAGAACCCACATGGTAAAAGAACAGAACTCACTCTTGCAAGTTATCGACTTCACTTGATCATGTATCAACACACACACACACACACACACACACACACATACTTACATACACATAGACACACGAGTGTAAAATAAATGAATGTAATAAAATATTAAATGTTATTAGCTCTGATATATTAAATTGTATTCTAAATCTGTTAAACTTCAAGCTATTGCCAAATCTGGTAGCGTATGCCTGTGATACAGTTGTTTGGGAGGCTGAGCAGGAGAACCACAAGTTCCAAGCCATCTTGGGTTACAGAGTGAGTTCAAGACCAGTCTGAACAATTTGAGACCCTGTCTCAAAAAAGTAAAAAGAAGGCTAAGGATATAGCTTAGTGGTAAGACCTTGACTAACATGCACAGGGTCCTAGGTTCAAAACTGTAAAAAGTGTTGTAAATGGCTACCATGTCTTTTTCTCTGGCAGTGTGTGTACTCAGGGTACTGGTCTGTCTGGGTCAATGGCCACTGACCATCATGTTCCTTCAGTTATGTAACTATGTGCACTGTGTCTTTGTGATGGCTGGTCCACTGTACTGGAAAGATCATGTATGTTATACAGTTTTTGGAATATAAATGTAGGGATCCCCTACCCTTCTGAGGAAACAACATAATTAGTGTATAGAATCAATAGACTTCTTGAGATTAGAATGTTATTTGTGTGTTAATTAGCTCTGCTGCTGCTTTTTCTTTTGTTTTAGATTAAATGGAAACCACCCTTGGGAGCTAGATGCCTGTGTAGCTGTTATACCACATCAGTGTTTTGCAATGAGTGGGGGAGGAGAGCAGCCAGACATCCTCAGTGTTGGAATCTTGGTCAAAGAACGATGGAAAGTGGTGAGTATAGAATGGAGACAGGAAAGCGGGGGTGGGGGCCAAGCATCTAGGGTGATATGTTTTGGTATGCTGATAGAAGTAACATTTCTAAAGGACTAATACCTATGTTTTTTATTCACCTAAAACAGGTATTTTAATTTTTATTCATTTTTTTTGTTTTTCTTGAGACAGGGTTTCTCTTGTGTATAACAGCCCTGACTGCCCTGGAATTCACTGTGTAGACCAGGCTGGCCTTGAATTCAGAGACCCACCTGCCTCTGCCTCCTGAGTGCTGGGATTAAAGGTGTGCGCCACCACTGCCCGGCTTGACTTTTATTCCTATGAGTAAGTTTTGTTTATGCTCTAATTCTTAAATTTACTTCATAAGTTCTAATTTTTTCTAGCTTTCTGTAGCTAATATTATAAATAAAAGTGCTTAAGGAAAGAACAAATTAAAAAGAATTTGAAAGTACAGTAAACTGCCATTTTTTTTTCTTCTACAACACTATTAAGAAAACTTCTAGTTGGGTGGTGGTAGCATGCGCCTTTAATCTCAGACAGATGGATCTCTGTGAGTTCAAGGCAAGTGGTCTACAGAGTGAGTTCCAGGCCAACCAGAACTACACTGAGAAACCCTGTCTTAAAAAAGAAAGAAAGGAAGGAAAGAGGGAGGGAGGGAGAGAGGGAGACAAGAAGAAAAGAGAAAACTTCTAAGTGCACACAAAACCAGACATATGATAAATTGCTATGTACTTAGCCTATACTTTCTGGTTACCATGTATAACTTTGTTTCTTCTCCTAGAGTATTTTGAATAGTTCTTACATAAGTATGTATCTATAAAGAAAGATAAGGACTTATTTTTCAAAATTATTCACTTATAAAAGTTTTTATGTTTTTTGATAGTAGCAGGATCAAATTCAAGGTGATTGATTCTGTTACATAGACTTAGAGACCAGGTCGGTTAGGCACCTTTTGGAAGGGAAAAGGGTAGAGGAAAGGTTGGTGGGGGAGAGAAGAGACAGAGAAAGAGAATGAAGAAAAGGAGAAGGGAAAGTGTGAATTTAGTCCAAAGTAGTATCTTACGCCTGTAGTCCCAGTACTGAGGAGGCTGAATTTGAAGCTATTCTGGACTGTCGGCAGGTCCCAGGGCAGCCTGGGTCGCAGTGTGAAGCTGTCTCACAGAAGGAGCAGGTGCTGGAGGGGCGGCTCAGTGGGCAACAGCTCTTGCTGTTCCTGCCGAGGACCCGGGCTCAGTTCCCAGCACCACACAGTGACTCACTCCAGTTCCAGAGGGTCTGAACATCTGCCATCTTCTGGTGCTCACATGGTACATAAACATTCACGCAGGCAAAACACCATACACATAAAATATAAACATCTAAATGTTAATGAAGCAAAATGAGTCAGCCAATAAAAGCACTTGCCTCCAAGCTTGTCGACCTGAGCTCTGTCCCAGGATTCCACATAGTAGAAGGAGAGAACTGACTCCCAGAAGTTGTCTTTTGACTAACACATGTGCACCTTGGCCCGCACATATCCAGTGCATGCCTGTGTGTACACACACAGACATACTAATAAAAAAATTGTAATATGTTTTAGTCCATTGTAGTTATTATCCTTAGAGATTTTTAGATTGTCTTCATCTAAGGGGACACCCATTATGAAGCCTCTGGAGTTCTGTCTTAGTTGCTTTTCTATTGGTATGATAAATAAATCACCATGACCAAGGCAACTTATAAAAGGAATCATCTAATTGGGCTTACTGTTTCAGAAGGTTAGAGATCATGATTACACAGCAGAATGTGGTGTCCAAGACAGCTGAGAGCCCACATCTTGGTGTGATACACAGGCAGGCAGTGAGAAGCACACTGAGAGTGGATTGAGCCTTTTGAAACCTCAAAACACCCTACCTCCTTCAACAAGGCCACACCTCTAAATTCTTCTCAAACAGTTCCACCAACTAGAGAGAAACCAGATATTCAAACTTGTGAACCTCTGGGGAGCATTCTCGTTCAGACTATCACATTTGAATTTGAACTAAATGCTTTTAGTTCAAATTCAAAAGTCCCCATAGTCTCTTATAGTCTCAACACCATTTTAAAGTCTAAAGTTCAAATCTCTTCTGAGTCAGGCAATCTCTTAACATCTTATAACATCTTATAAAATTAGAAAGCAAATTACATACTTAGAACATGCAATGGCACGGAATATACATTACTATTCCAAAAATCAAGCGCTCAGGACTGACAAGCAGGAGACAAAGAGTGCACACTGGGAATGATGGGAGCTTTTTGAAGCCTTGAAGCCTGTCCCTGTGGCACCCCTCCTCCAACAAGGCCATATCTCCTAATCTTTCCCAAACATTCCCACCAATTAGAAATCAAACATTTAAATATATGAGCCTTTGGGGGCCATTCTTATTCAAACCACCACAGGTTCTAATAGGCCTTTAATTTATTTTATGTCAATGTTTGGTGTTTTCAAATAAGATCTCACTGTGTAGCCCAGCTGGCTTTCAACTGAGTCCTGCTGTCTCTGTTGCAGCCTTCCAAATACTGGAGTTCTAGGTGTGCGCCAGCTCCCTAGCAGTCCTCTAGTGCTGGGGGGAGCCCTCTAGTGCTGGGGAGCCCAAGCCTCCCACTAGCTAGGCAAACCCTCTTTCACTGAGATACATACCCCTGCCTCTCCCCAACAGTCTTTTAATGACTTTCTTATCCTAGAACTGGAATATATCCTCTGACAACTTATTTAAGGACTTATTTTTTGTTTTTAATAATTATCTTTATTCTTATTCAGTCTTTTGTCAACTAAAGTTTTCTTATACTAATAGGTTTTAATTGTTTTAGTATTTCTCTAAATCTACTAATAAGATAGAGACTCTTTAAGGAAAAAAAAGTCTTTCAGAGGCTTTAAATGTTTTTATTACAGTCAGGCATGGTGGTGTGCACCTTTAATCCCAGCACTCAGGAGACAGAGGCAGGCAATCTCTGTGAGTTTGAGGCCTAGTTTTACAGAGTGAGTTCTAGAACAGCCAGGACTGTTACACAGAGACACAGAGAAACCATGTCTCGAAAAAAAAAAGTACTGTGATAAGTATTGGTTGTTCTTCAATAAAATAAGGTTACAGCTTGATAAGGTGACACAGGCAAGTAGTATCAGCACTCAGGAGCCTTGGGAAGGAGTATCGTGAGTTCAAGACCAGCCTCAGCCAGGTGTAGTGGTGCATGCCTTTAATCTCAGCATTTGGGAGGCAGAGGCAGGAGGATCTCAGTGAGTTAGAGGCCAGCCTGGTTTATGTAGGGAGCTCTGGGACAGCCAGGACTATGTAGAAAGACTGTGTCTCAGAAAACAAACAAAAAGACCAGCCTGAGCTACATAGTGAGACTCTTTCTTTAAAAACCAAATACAACGATTAAAAATGTAGCCCAGAGGCCTGAGAGATAGTTAAGTGGTTAAGGGTATGTGCCATCAAGAATGAAGACCTGAGTTCTGTTCCTGCTGCTCAGACAGTGAAGGAGAGAAAGAGACAGAACGGAGCAGAGATAACTCCTCCAGGTTGTCCTCTGACCCCTCTATATTTCATGGCTACTGCACTCACACACACAATACATTTTTTAAAGAAAAAATTGTAGTTCTGTAGTAGAGTACTTAGCATTTGTAAGATTTTGTGTTCAACCCCCGACATCTTGAAAACAGGGAAAAAGCGGTGAGGAATGCTAAACAGGATCTGCCTTCGGTGGTGAGGATACCGAACAAGGCCTGCCTTCGGTGGCTCCCTTGTCCTGGCAACTACAGCCAACGAGTTGTGGAACTTGTCCCCCACATTTGGGAGGAGGATGGCATTTTGTAAGGATTCTTAATTGTTTTTTATTTTGTTTTGTTTTGTTTGTTTTGTTTTTTGAAACAGGGTTTCACTGTGTAGCCCTGACTGTCCTGGAACTCAGTCTGTAGACCAGGCTGTCTTCAAACTCAGAAATCAGCTGGCCTCTGCCTCCTGAGTACTGGGATGACTGCCCTGCTAGAATTCGTAATTGTTAAGGATGGCATCTTATGTACACACACACACACACACACACACACGGATGGTGTGTTAATATCCAAGGCTATATAGCAAACTATGTTAAAACAGTCATAGGTTAATCATCTTATTTTGCCTATAGTTTTATAGATTAGGAATTAGGAATGAGGATTTAAGAGAAAGCTCATTCAGTAAAGTGCTTACCACACAATTGAGAGGCCCTGAGTGATCTTCAGCATCCATACAAAAAAATTGGACCGGGAAGATAACACAGTTGTTAAAGTACTTGTCTCACAAATGAGGACCTGCTGGGTGCTGTGGTGCTTGAGAGGTAAAGGCAGAGGCAGGAGGCCACCCTGGGGCTCACTGGCCTGCCAGCCTAGCCTGACCAGTGGACCCAGTGAGAGACCTTGTCTCAAAAATTATAAGCTCATTAACCTGCACACACTTTTCACCTGCATGAGTGTGTACGCGCGTGTGCGCACGCACACACACACACACACACGGGACAAGTTTACTTGGGTGGCTTGGCCATTAGTTCTGACAAGATTAGTTGTGCTAGTGACTCCATTCTGTATGGCTTCTTTACCCTCTGACCTTGGACTTGTTAGCACTCTCATTCTCCCGCTTCGGTAGCTCATTTTCTTTGGAATCTCCTGTGCCTATGACTTCTGAAGATAACCACACTTTCTATATTTGGTTTGCTTTTTTAGAGACAGGATATAGAATCTTCTAGGCTGCTTAAGGTTTTTCTTCAGAGCAGGCATATTATTGTTCTTTTCTGTTGGTTAATCGGTCATAAGAGCTATACACATTTAAGAAGGTGGGAAAACAGACCCTATAACTTTAATTTTGTTTTTAATTTTTGCCAGTGCTGGCAATTGAACACAATGCTTGTATATATGCCTAGACAAGAAACCCTCTACCACTGATTATATCACCAGACCCTACCTTTTCACAGAGGAGGGTCAAGGTCACAATTCCTTGTTAAATATGAAAAGTCTTCTGAACCTAACATTAAAGAGGAGGAGGATGGGTACTGAACAGATGGCTTAGTGGTTAAGAGCACTGGCTGCTCTTCCAGAGGTCCTGAGTTCAATTCCCAGCAACCACATGGTAGCTCACAAACATCTATAATGAGATCTGGTGCCCTCTTCTGGTATGCAAGCATACATGCAGGTAGAACACTGTATATATACATAATAAATAAATAAAAATAATTTTTTTTAAAAAACAGAAGGATGGGAGATAATGTAGTGGATATCTTTAGTGGATGTGCTTTTAGCATACTATATTACTTGTGACTTTGTTTTTAACCTCAGAATTAATGAAGATATTATAGGGTTTTGTCAAGGTTAAGCAAATTACTGTTCTACTATTGTTCACATTACATTAATAGAAATAGACTAAGGACCCAACATAGATTTAAAAAAAAATTCTGTCATTTATTTGAAATTATTTTGTGTATCAAATAATAAGCCATCAATCAAAATAATAAAGACATACCCTTAGTACTTACTATGTTTTGTTTGTTTGCTTTGAAGCAGAGTCTTATGTTGTCTGTCTTGTCCTTGAATATCTAGGCTAAGGTGTCCTCCCAGCTTTCTCTTTCAGAGCAGCTAAGTTTTTGCTTTGTTTTGTTTTGTTTTTTTGAGAAATAGTTTTCTCTGTGTATCCCTGGCTGTCCTGGAACTCTCTCTGTAGACCAGGCTGGCCTTAAACGCTCAGAGATCTACTTGCCTCTGCCTCTGCCTGCTAGGATTAGAGGCGTGAACCACCACTGCCTGGTTTTAGTTTTTAAACTTACATTAGATTTTATTTAATGGACAACATACAAAGAATCACAAGGACCAGCTAGAGCCCTACAAAGAGCAGCACACTTCACTGCAAAGATCTGGCACCTGGTTCCACCCGTGCTCACCCTGTAGTTCCTTATCTTACTCCTCATCACCAAACAAATTTAAAATGACTATGGCTTAAACATGCAAAACAACCTTTGTAAATAAGCTGTAATTATGTAGTTTGGACTTTGTTAAGCACTGTGTAAAGAGGAAGGTTATGTGACCTCTCCTTGAAGAAGCCTACTTCTGTCCGAAACCCGACAGCAGCTGTGGGAAGTTAAGGAACATGAAGGTGGATGTGGTGTGCACTTCTGTAATCCTAGCACATGGGTGGTGCAGGCAGGAATATCAAGAGTTCGAGATCACTGTTGGAGGCCAACCTGGATGAAACCCCAGTTTAAGAAAACAAAAACCTCCCAGCATGGTGTGAGATGCCTTTTTGGCCAGTCTGGTCTACATAATGAGTTCCAGAACAGCCAGGGCTGCAGAATAGAGACTTTGTCTCTGAACAATAGAAAGTTACTCAACATAATTTAAAAGTCGGTGATAAGCCAAGGTATGGCCTGATAAAATTGTTAATTGAAAAAGTAAACAAATAATTTTCATAGAAATTCAGATGATAAATTGGTCTAAGGGGCTGGGCATGTAATTCAGACCAGGCTTTGCACCTGATCTGCACCACAGGAAGAAAGGGAAGGAGGTCGAGAGCATAGGTAGATAAGGGCATCAGTGGAAACGCCAGTGGAGAAGTGAGCAGGGTGTGTGTGACAGGAGCATGGGCTTCTTGGAAGTTTAGGATTTTGTGCCTCGTACGTTTAGTAATTACTTCCTACGTTACCATGCATTATATTCCAAATGTTTGCTTATATTATAAGAAGAAATGGCTTGTTTCTTGCTGCATCTTGCATAAAGTATATCACCCACCCCAGATTTTCAGAGCCCCTTACAGGGACTAGCTTTTAGAACCTGTTTGTGATACTCAAATATTCTGATGTTCTCCAATTAAGTTAGCATTTAAAGTGTTTGATGACAGCAATTAAGTTGATTACAGCATATTATTTGAAGTGTAGATGTATAGTAGTGTTTATGCTCTGAGATAGTGTAGAACCACTCTCCGCTTGTTGCGTGGGTCCTGCTAGTCCTGCCTCAGAGAGGAGAATGAACTGGATGCTAGCTGCTTAGCCCATTCTTCAGCCTCCCTCCTTACCCATAGACCAGATTGGTTCTATATAAGATTTTAAATGACAAAAAGATTTCGTTGATTAAAAAGTCTGCAAATGAAATAGATTAAAACTAATCTGGCTATTGAATGGTATTTATAGGAATTGATTCTTTTAGATACTGTTTTTTTGATGCTAGCTGTAGACCTTTAATAATTGTTTATAACTGAAATAATTTCATTATTCTGTAGACAAATCTGTAGGGAATGTTGTTGATATTATCTCTGGGCAAATGTTTTTCTCTTGCTATATAAATAATTTAACAATATTGAAATCATTTATTATAAAATAAGACTAGTAAAATTACATGTTTTCTAAGTGTAAACGTGAGTTGGCTTCCAATTAGAATCTTTGCATAATTTTGTATGTGTTCTTGTTTTGTTTTCTGTGCAGTTAAGAAAGATTGGGGGTGGGGGCTTTGGAGAAATTTACGATGCCTTGGACATGCTCACCAGGGAAAATGTGGCATTGAAAGTGGAGTCAGCTCAGCAGCCAAAGCAAGTTCTGAAGATGGAGGTTGCTGTGTTAAAGAAACTGCAAGGTAAGCTTTTAGAATGACATACAGTGAAGTTTTGTATGACAGTTGTTAATTGCTCTAATCTTCCTTGGTTAAGTTCTCTATACTAATGGACTGCTCTGGTGTCAGCGAGGTATAAACATGCTGAGTATGTTTGTGTTAAAAGCTTTGTTATGTAATAGAAATATGCGATTGTTAAGAGTAATTGGGCTTTGGGAATTCCTCTTCATGGTAAGGATGAGAGATAATTAGAGTCACCCACTACTTTAGAAAGTGTTATCCTAAATCTGCTATAGTAACATTTGAATCTTCCTTTGAACCAATCATAAAATACCTCTGAGACATTTCTTCATTTGCCTTTGTATGTTAAACATTCTTGAATCTTATCATGGAAGCTATCTTCAAATCATACTGCAGGATGGATTAAAAATGCTAAGTAAGGCTTTGTGTGTTCTCATTAACTTTAGTTTCATAGCATAGCTCATCATATTTGAAGTTCATCTTACTACTACTCAGGTACCTATATTTTTTCTATAATGAAAAATCATTTATTTCTGACTTCAATCTAATAGTCATGCAAAACATTGAATGTGTTGATAATATCTCATTATCTCTGTCTTTAATATGGTACATTGGTATTACTAATATCAAAGATACATAAGGTTGATGACTAATTTGTTCTTTGTTCTAAGATTTCCAGTTGTCCAAGTTTCTCTACCAGTTGTTTAATTGGATTGTGATGTAATGCTAATAAAATAAATTTTTGAAGTTGATTTTAGCTCAGATTTAGTTTTCCCACGGCAAGATCATAGATCACTCAGCCCTAATTGTCGCTGCTAAAAAAACAAAGAATCAGAAAAGGAAAAACAGAAAAGGATGGCTCTTCACCCCCCTCTGGTTTTTCTCAACTCATTGTAAAAGCCATAAGGAAGTGCTGCTGGGATTGCCTTCCCAGGGCTGCACAGAGCCTGTGATCTCTCTAACACTGGCTGCACCCACAGGGGACGGATGTTGGCAGAGCTCAGCCTGGTCAGTGTCACTTCACCAGTCTCTGTCCTTGGCACAACCTGGTCAGTGTCACTTCACCAGTCTCTGTCCTTGGCACCGGGCGTGGTCCTGTGAGACAGGAGACACTGCTGCAGCTCTTTCAGGGCTTCTCCTAGCGACTTTGGCCTTGATTTGATTAGGATTCCAAGTGATAAAGCTTAAAGATCAGTCTAATACCTTTTATGGGTAAAACTGTTGCTGGAGTTCATTTTATTGAGAAACTGTTAGACATTGTGCTCTTCTTTTCAGTTTGTCATTTAAAAGTTACTGTCTAAATGTTTTTCTTGCCTGCTCAGACTTATATGAACCCTGTTCCTCAGAACTTCTTTCCACAAATGAATAGGTTTTTAGTCTTCTGATCTATATTTCAGTGAGGTCATCCTTGACCCTCTTGTTTTTTCTCCTTAATGCTTCGCACCTTGTTGTTGTTGTTGATGATGATGATGTTGATGATAACGCTCAGCATCTAGACCATTGGAGACATTTTTGTGGTACTGAGCTATTCTTACTTTGCTGGTGGCACTAGGTGACACGGAGTGACTCCAGTATGTAAGAAAACTGGAGGCTAACCTATGAGATTAGTCTCTTGCATCCCAGACTGACTTTGACCTATGGTTGCCAAGGATGGCCTAGAGCTTCTGATCCTCCTGTTTCCCATCTCCTAAGTGATGGGATTACAGATGAATGTTACTATACCTGGCTGACCATGGCAAAAAAAAAAAGAAGCTTCTCTGGCCTAATCTGTAGGCCTGTAGGCACAAACATAGTTGTTTAGAGGGTAGATTGGCATATCATGTCCATTTAGCAAAACAACAAGAGTAGCTTCCCCATTAAGGTTTAAGACCTTCATAACCAGCCACAGGCTTTGACCTAGTTTAAAGTACTAGATGTAAGTGGGCATTAACTCCAGTCTAAAGTTCATTGCATAACACAGTTCTTGAGAAAATAATTATAAAAAGGAAGCCTTATAACAGACTTGCCAGTGTTGCAGTTGTGGTCTCAGTTTGCCTGGCCAGTTGGTAGTATTGCACACAGGGTCCACCACTGAGTTAGACTGTGGATGACAGTTCTCTCCTGGCAGCCTGCCTGGCTCCTTCTGGTACTGTGAAGGCTACCTAGCAGGGATGAAGCTTTCCAGCCCAGTTCTGGCTTGATTTCTCTATATCTTGTGCCCAAAGCTAATGACATCTTCGACAATAAGGGTTTGCCATCTAATTCTAGTGGGCAGCTACCACTAGCAATAAGTTATACTATTTTGGGGGCTTCAGGATCCTCCTTGACCAACATCTTTTCAGGAGGTAGCCTATCCCTGACACTGGAACTTTTATTTAATAATCATGGTTTCTGGGAGCATCTTTAGTCCCTCAAAACAAGAGAGGTTGTTACTCCATTGACATTCCTTAAATTTTTACAAAAGATTTATGACACACACACACACACACACACACACACACACAGAGAGATAGAGAGAGAGAGAGTATTTGCATGTATGAGTAGTCACAGAGGACAGAAGAAAGCATTGAATTCCCTAGAACTGGGGTTATAGGTAGTTGTAAGCCACCTTATGTGGGCTCTGGGAACTGAATTCTAATCTGATGCAAGAGCAGAAAGCTTTCAATGATCATCAGCCTCATTAAGTTGTGGTTTTTGTTTTTCAAGACAGAGTTTCTCTGTGTAGAGTTTCCAGGCTGTTTTGGAACTCTGTAGACCAGGCTGGCCTTGACCTCATAGAGATCCACCTGCCTCTGCCTCCTCAGTGCTGGGATTAAAGTTGTGTGCCGCCACTGCCTGAAAAGAAGCATTGGTATTCTTTGAAGGTCTGATAAAATTTACCAGTAAAGCTATCTGGACCTTTTTTCTTTTTTAGTTGGGAGATTTAAAATATCATTTCAGTCTCACTGTTTGTTATACATTTGTTTAGACTGTCTCATTTTGATTTAATTTGGCATGTCTTATGCATCTAGAAATGTATTTTTTTAGACTTTCCAATTTATTGACATTATGATTTCAAGGGAAAATGTAATGATTTTCTGAATTTCATTGGTATCTGTTGCAATGACTCATCTTTCATCTCCAATTGTATTAATTTACACCTTTATTTGATTAGTTTGACTACGCATTAACAATCTTGTTTATTTTTTCAGTGAACCAACTTTTTGTTTCATTAAATCATTGTATTTTGTTTGTTTCAATTTCATTAATTTCTTTCCTGATTATATTGATGTCTGTCTACTTATTTGAGATTTGACTTGTTCTTCTGTTTCCAGGTCCCTTAGGTGTATCACTATTTATTTGAGAGTTCGTTGATTTCATAATGTCTTTTAGGATTACTTTCATTGTATCCCAGTTTTGATGTGTTGTGTTTTCATTTTTATTTGATATTAGGAATCTTTAATTTCTTTTTTTCATTATTCAATAGTGTGTTGTTTAATCTCTATGAGTTTGTGTTTTAGGGGTTTTCTTATTGACATGTAGTCTTACTCCATTGTGTACAATACAAATAATTATTTCAGGACTGGGCGGTGGTGGCACACACCTTTAATTCCAGCACTCGGAAGGCAGAAGCAGGCGGATCTCTGTGAGTTCCAGTTCAACCTGGTCTTCAAGAGCTAGTTCCAGGACCAGCACCAAAGCTACATAGAGAAACCCTGTCTTGAAAAATAAAACAAAACAAAAAAATTATTTCAGTTTTTTTTTTTGTATTTGTTGAGACTTGCTTTTTGTCCCAATGTGTGATCTATTTTAGAGAACGTTTCATGGGCTGCTGAAAAGAGCATGTGGATAGATTGTTTTGTGGAGGTCTGTTACATCCACTTGATCTCTAATGTCATTTAATTTACATATTTCTCTGTTAGTCTCTGTGGAGAGGACAAGTTAGTTGATGAGTGTAGGGTATTCAGATCACCCACTGCTGTTGTGCTAGGGTTAATCTGTGGCTTTGCATCTAATAATTTTGTCTTATGAAATTGGATACACTTGTGTTCAGGGCATATATGTTGGGACTGTATGTCTTCTTAATGGATTGTTCCCTAATCAACATCTTTATCTTTCCTCTCTAAGTTAGATTTGAAGTCCATTTTGTTAGATATTAGAAGAGTAACACCTGCTTTTTTCCTAAGTTCATTTGATTGAAATACTTTTTTTTTTCATTTTTATTTATTTGTTTGTTTGGTTTTGGTTTTTTGAGACAGGGTTTCTCTGTGTAGCAGTCCTGGAACTTGCTTTGTATTTCAGTCTAGCCTCTAACACTCTGCCTCCCAAGTGCTGGGATTAAAGATGTGCGCCGCCACCACCTGGCCCCTTTTTTCGTTCTTTCCCCTAAGGTAGTGTCTGTCTACTGTGTGAGATATGTTCTTGGAGGCAGCAAATCCATGGCTCCTGCATTTGACCCAGCTTACTTCTCTGTCTCGACGGGGGATGGAGACCACTAATGCTCAGAGTCTTTGTTGAAACGTGTGGTGATGGTGATTGCTGTCATTTTGTTGATTTCTGCTGTGATCTTTTAGTGTCATTTATTTCATAGATGATTTTTTCTTTTCAGTTTAAAAGATTCTTCAAGTATTTTCTGTAGATCTGGCTTAGGGTCATAAATTCCTTTAGTCTACTTTTATCATGGAAGCTTTATTTCTCCTTTAGTTACAACAGTTATCTTTATTGGGTGTAGTAGTCTGGATTGTCAGTAATTAATTGTCTTTCAGAACTTGAAATAGGGCCAATAAAATAGATAGCTCAGTGGATAAAGGCTTTTACTACCTTGATGACCTGAGTTCAATACCAGAGTCCCACATAATGGAAAGAGAGAGCTGACTTCTTCAAGTTGTTCTCTGGCCACCACACCTGCCTTGGTGCTCACACCATCACCACACACATTAAATAAACAAATGTAATTTTAAAAAGATGAAATAGTAACTAGAAACATACTGTTCGTGTAGTTCTCCTGGCTTTTAAAAAGTTGCAGTTAAACAACTCTTAGTCAC